CGTTTCTAGTAAAATGATTCTTGATATCAATGTGTTTCATTTTGCTGTATATGACTTGATTTGCAACAAGTTATAATGCACTTTGATTATCACAATGAAGATTGATAATCTACTATTTCAATCTCATCTAAATATAAAAATTATGTAATTAAATAATATCTTTGTTATGCTGCCGCTATATATTCAAAATCCCTTATGGATAAAGCTACGCACATCTACAAAGTAAATCTTCAACTCATGCGTCCATCATCAAGTGTAAACACCTAGCTAGTTGTAAATCTACTCTTGTATATAGTTTTCATCAAAGTAGCCTAACAAAGGTTTGACATTATTTATAAAATATCAAACAATTTATCATAATCCTTAGTATTCTTCAAATATTGAAAATCCATTACACATCTTACTTGCATTTGACATGTCTCTATTCATTTTGTTCATAGCTAGAGCATTATCAGGTTTTGCATATATCATCAAGTTCATGAAAGTATTACTAGCTTTGTCATAAAGATACTACAACATATTTTTTTCAATGCCATACATTTAACATTGAGATGCGGAAAGTTTAAAATGTGATACAAAAGTATTCATAATGCTTTGAAATCTCACATGTTAAACTTGTCAAGCATATTTAGAAAGTAATTACTTTGATTCAACCATAAATTTTTCTTCATTGAATCCTTATGAATATTCATTATTAATATCATCTTGAACATATTCAAATGCTTTATCTAACAATGCAAATTTTAGTTGATTATTGCATTTTTCAATACAAAAATCAGTTAGATTGATTTTTTGCCAAAGTGAGCATGTCATCCATGTAAGCAACTGGAATAATAAGATTAAAAAATTTATTAATTATGTTTTTTTATGTACATTTATGGATCATACATATTCAAGTAAAATTATTTTTGGATTCATGAACTCATTGAAACTTGCATTTCATTGTTTTCAATCCATATAATTACTCCAGCAATCTACAGATCAACTTTTTTTATTTCAAAACTCTACTCTAAAGTTATACACATAAATGTTATAACTCCAGACAGCGAATTCATAATCAATCTAAATATTATAACAAGTGTACATGCTAATCAAATTATAACATACTTTGTTACAAATGATAAAATGTCATTGTAAATCATAAAATTTTTTTGTATGAAACCTCTAGACATCAACTTGGTTTAACATTATCTTTATATATTTAGTCATCAAGTCAAAAATTCTTAGCTAGATAATTAAGAGTGTTAGTTACTGTCTTAGTTCAGAACGACGCGTCCGCAATCTATGTGCTTTTAAAAATTATTTGTCATGTCATTTATCTACTAGAGGTGAAATGAATGGTGAGAGTGAGATATTATGTTTTTGTATTTTTAGGTAAAATTTATATAAAAAAAGTAAAATCATTTTATAAATTTTTTACTTGAACGTTGTATTTCATCTATTTTTATACCTAGTATTACAATTAGCATAATCTATACATTATATAAGCTCTACTAATTTTTGTTCAATATCTTTTAGTAAAACTTATATTTAATTTTTATAATTTGGTGCGAATAGTTAAGTCTCATCAACAATAACTTGCTCTTCAAGTATTTCATTTGTATATTTGCTTCACCTTGTGTCACGTCATTAATCACATAATGATAGATCTTCATTTCAACAACATCAATGAGTAAAAAATTATCCTTGTCAATATTGACAAACTAATATTATTTAATATTTTAATGATCTATAATTGTTAATAACAATAACTTTATTTGCATATCATAACTTATAAGCCTTCACATCACTAGCATATTGATAAAAATGACAATTTTGGATGTAAAATTTAATTAAAAACTATTTTCTTCACGTATGGATTGTTAAATCTTTAAATCAAAACTTTCAAATTATCATAATCAGACCATGTGTTTGTGACACACTTCAAAAGGTGTTAAGCAATTGATTGCATTAGAAGAAGATAAATTTACCAAATATATTGAGACTATGACAACTTCAATTTAAAATTCATATATAAATTAGATTTATTAATTGTATTACGCGTTTGCTCCAATGCTGTTCAATTGAATAATTTAGAAATAGAATTGTGGAATATAATTTGTGATGAGATCATGAGTAATCTCTTGCTCTTAGCATTAACTTCAAAACTAGTCAAATTTTTCTCCTTCACTATTAGTACGTTAATTTCTCACCTTATGTATGGTCTTAGTTTCAAGTTGGAATTTTCAACCTTTAAAAGGTGTAAAAACCTCAAACTTTTGAATGAAAAATAAATCTACACAAATCTTGAGTACTCATGAATAAATGATACATAGTGCAATTTTTTAGAGAGTGAAATTTTTAGAAAGTATCCTCACACGTCACTATGAATATATACAAATAATTTCTTGAATTTGTGAGTTTCAGCAACAAAGAATTTCTTATGATGATTGACCATAATACAGTGTTGACAAAAATCTAAGTGAACTCTTATCAATGCAAGGTAACAAATTTTTATCCACATGGAGTGTCAAGTATCTAATTATCATGTATCATAGTTTAGAATGCCATACATGAGACATTTTAATATCATTGATTTCATCACATATTGTAATGAACTTTAATAAGTATAGATTTTGTGCTTGCGAACTTTTAAAACTTGATACTTTTTCATGTATTTTCACCTTGAGCATATTTTATTCTCAATTTTTACTTAAGATCATTCAAACTTTCAATAGATAGAAAATTTTTCCTCATATCAAATTTTATTCAATGTACCATAGATTTCATCAAACATTTAAATTTTAATAGATTCAGTATTTTCAATCTTACAAGATTGATATTTTTCTATAAGAATTGATCCGTTTGATATTGAAAAAAATACTAAAAATTTCTCTATTGTAACTTATGTGATAAAAACAATCACTATCTAAAAACTATATATCATCAACAACCTTGATGAGTTGCGTAGAGCATATTTATGACATAATACACAATTGTTGATCAGTTCGATCTCCTCAAGATCAAACTCTTGAAACACATTAGCTAAATAAATATAAGCAACTTTGATCTTTACACAATAATCATTCATGACGGAGTCACTCGCCTTGTTTCCAACATATCATTGACTTTTTTTCTATGAATTTACCTATAGATTTAAATCTTACTTTCAATCCAAAATAGACAATTTTTGTGGAAAAAATTTTATCATTGTGAATACAAAAACTTGAATAATTTTACTTTTTTGGTAAATGTGAACTTAAAAATATTTTAGATAGCTTTCTATGATTATTATGATTTTAAATAATTTTTTATCCATCTACATGCCAATATGTAAATACTCTCTTTCACATTCATTCCATTATTAAGACTAGTTAAAATTTTATCATTAATAAATATAACAATTATGTGAAAACATGGCAACATGCCATTAGTTTTTAAATTTTTTTTGTTTTTTCTAGAATTTTTCTTTATTTTTGGTTGAAATGATGTCATACTATTGAAAATTTTCAAATTTTAATTTGCTATTAAATCAAAATTAGATTTATTTTAATCATTCTGACTTTTGTGCTTTGTCAAACTTGTTTTTAAATCAAAATAATTATGTTCAACTTTATCTTCTTAAATGAATTTGATTAATTTTCCAAATATAGATTTCATAGCTAAATTTAATCATGAATTAAATATTTAGTCATATTAAAAATGACTATAGGAACTTTTTGGTTGATTTTACACCTAATACATTTGAATTATTATAAATCTTATAGATGTGGACTCATCCAAATAAAAATCCATTCCAAATCAAACCTTACAGCTATAAATACTCATAGTCCATAATCATTCACATCAATAGCACATGTAAAAAAATTACAATTTTTTGGAAGTAAATATTAGAAGTTAATTCATATCTTGTTGTAACTCAGTAGACCTTGATCAATGAAGATGATTAAACTCTTATTATATACTACAGTTCACAAAACATTCTATGACATTTGCAGTATTTTTTCTCGTTATAATTTTAGATGTTTCCGTGACGTAGTGCGTAGGGATGAATCACATATGTCTAGTCTCAATTGAGCATGTGTGTGCATTTGTGTGTTGATGATATCTGATTTCCTTCAACCAATGTGTTCAACTTTTCTTGTGTAAAAAACCTTGATTATAAATTTCAGAACAATGGATTCTTTTGTTCTTGCGTTGTGTTGTTAGAGCTTGCCACAATTCAATAAAAGAATTTGGCTTTGACGCTTTATGAATCTCCTAAACAAGATTGAGATATATAGAGATTGATCGAAATTGAATAAATGAGATTTCGATCAATCTATTCAATGTGAAATCTCATCTATTCGATTTCGATCAATCGCGTGTTTAAGACCAGAGTAGAGGAGAGCTATGAGGGAGAGCAGAGTTCGAAGGATTGGCGATAGATCGTTGCAACTTGCAAGTGAGTTTTAGCACCTAGAAGACGCGAGGAACAAGAGCGCTAAATGTTCGGTTTTCAAGGGACTTGAAGCTGAGGAAGGAAGCAAAAACGAGAGAGTTGAAGAGGGTGTACAGCTGAGCATTTTTTTCTTTTTCCTTCCGGATTGTGACCTGCAAAGAAGTCTGGTCTATTAGGTCATGTAAGAAGAGAGGGAGAGCGGAGAAAACTCAAAACCAACAGGATTTAAAAAATAGCATACATAATAGAGAAAGACAATGTCAAAATTCTTTAAAAAGATAGATCAAAATAAAAAACGCATCACTAAGCAACGCATTGGGGCAGCGGTTGATGAAAAATTAGGCTGGTGCAAGCAAAGGCCGACAATTTCAACCCAACGTGGATATAAGATTGTGGTCAAGCGGTTTGATTGACGAGCCGAAACGTGTGGAGATCTTGAGGTGCATGAATAACATTACCTTTGACATTTCCTCGCGAATGCTGAAATCTGAATGGCTAAAAGCAAGTGAAGCGTGGATTACATCATATAACCGGTGTTTACGGAGCTTAAGAGAAAGATCAATTTTATTAGATGCTTATGACTTGGCAGAAAGCTGGGGAATATCTTCGTGACTTGGTGCAAAGCGGAAGTCGATAACACTACCCAGTGCTACATAGAGAACAATCAAGTCAAATGCTCATGTTCATATAAATAGTTCTGATGTTCAAGGACCTACAGTACATATCAGTACTTCTCGCAAGGTACACACATTTGACTAGATTAAAGAGCCAAGTGGATAACAACATTTGAATAATACCATCTAGCCTAACTACGAACAAAAGGTAGGATACCCGCAAAACACAATGGATAACAAATGCTAGACCTCGTATGAATGTTTAGTCCGTCTATGGATAACAGCTCTTCAAATATCTCACATATCGAAATGTAAGGTACTTATTTTTGTTTTGGCTTGATGGGACTTCCCATACTTCTAATTCATTTCGCAGGTAAGCTCGGCCCAGGATCCCAGTGAAAGTCATTACTGTCCATCTTCATCATGTGAAATTCGCCTCAATTACTGACCAATTGCAGTGCAGGTATTCACATCTCCAACGAGGGAATTGAGTTTATAATTATTGTAACTGGCGGTGTCTAGAACGTTTTCAACCTTGAAGTCTGAAAGCCGACGCCCTTCGATCACAGCATCAAATAGAACTATAGGAAATCTACATCGTAGTTGTGATATCCTTTGGATCCAATTCATTATGAGTACTCTCACCAAAGTAGAATGATGCTTAGAAACGAATTCGGAGACACACAAAACTTCTCTGGCTCGGAACACATTGACTGTTGGGTGTTACGTATATCAACAAATATTTACATGGGCTGCTTCCAGTTGTTGCACCGATCATGTATTTATACTAGCTACCTGAATTAGTGTGCATGTATGACGATCGAGGCTTCAGATTCTGGAGGTTCCACCTGCAGGTTGGAGAGATGCCAACTACCCTAATCCAAGAGGCAACTGCTTCACTAATTATCTTCTCCTTTCAAGGGAGAGACGCGTGTTGATGTTTACCTCCTTACATTGATCATCGTGATGGAGACAGGAATCAGTGATATATGTGGGTAACCTTGATCCTCTATCCTGATGATTAGTGATGAGTGGGCAACAGAGGTAGCTTGGAGGAAGTGATCGATTACAAACACGGATAAAGAACGAAACAACTGAAGGGTTCGTGATCAAGTTACTACATGCGCTGCTCTGCTTCTGTAGCGGTTTCCTCTCACGTGACAGAACACGAGTTGAGCCACGAGCACAACAATGACCAAACCGAGTGCAGCAATCACGATGAAAAACTTTTCGTTTGAATCGTCGTCTGATTTGCTCGTTTCGGCCGGGGCCGGGCTCGGTTTTGGTGCTGTTGAGTTACAGTTCCCTCCTACTTGACAGATCCCTGGATTTCCAAAAAATCTGCATTCCACATCAACGAAATTGGATCAGTTTTCAGCGTCACGCTATGACAAGGTTTTGTGGAAAGGATTTGCAATTTTCAGAATGAGAAATCGAGAGAACAATGACAGCAACAAAGTAGCCTTACGTGAATCCAGCTCTATCTAGAAAAGCCGTAGGAATGTCTCCACTGAGGTTGTTGTTGTCCAATGCCCTGTTTTGTGTATCCAAACATTCGCTCAGCCAAAGTTAGTCAAAGCGGATGATTTGGGGAAAACATGTGAATTGATGCGTCCTTCTGTCATCGACAATTGCGCAACCTGGACCAAGAGACTCTCTTGGTCCAGATTGATATGATTCCGGAGTCCTTCGTACTCTCTTCAAGAGAGTACGAAGGACTCCGGAATCATGCCTGAGAAAGCACACCACACTCCAACAAACGGAGATGAGGTACAGCTACACTACTGTACTCATGGATAGCGAGAGGAAGAAACTAAGAGCAAGAGTATGAGAATTTCTATCACCTCGTTTCACAGGTTGCTACAATGGTGGCCTTCGTCACTCACAGTATTTGCAGATTTTTGAGGGTGCGCAACGACTGGGGGATAGTGCCGTTTAATTTGTTGTTGTCCAGCCGTCTGTGAAAGGGGGAACATCATGGAGTGTTAGCGCACTTGCAGAGTTCCCTGCATCACGGAGAAAAGCTGGGCAACATTTCCGACGTATATTAAAAAATAATAATAACTATAAAAATAATGGCAGCTGCATCGAGCTAAATTTTATGAAACGCAATTTATAAATTCCTCGAATAGAAATGTAAAGATATTTTATTCTCATTCTTGGGAGTTTGGAATGTGTTTTTAAATTCACGTTCTTCATTTCATCGTATGATGTACGAGGAAGTCAAAGGGAAAGATGAAAGACGAGGACTATGAAAGGGGTCATGAGGTGGCCAGCTCCAACTTACATCTTCTGCAATTGAGTCAACTCAACGATCGCGTCCGGTATGGGGCCAGTGAGATTCTTGTCCGAAAGATTCCTGTGAGCATTGGAATCTTTAATTATCATCAGATTTAACCAAAGGCCTTCTTCTTTTAACGAAAGTCGCACGAAGAATGACAGTCAGTGAGAGATTTTCTATCTTTCCTTTGGCAATGATGACTTACAGCTCAATGATTCTCGAGTCGCCGTCGCAGGCGACCCAATCCCATGCCACTGGATAGCACGCATCTCCCTGCCAATCTTCCAATCCGAAAATCGACTGTAGAGATTTCAAAACGGTCGCTGCATCAGTCGAAGGGGTACGAAGTGAGTCAGAATGTCAGCTCCAGATTTTGAAACGGAGCATACGAGAAACTTTCCTGCGCAGTGGGCGCATGATTCGATAGGCGGATGGAAGATCTCGATATGAAAACGTCTGTACAGATGGCCCTCAACTGGAAACACTCACAAGTACATCGGCATGTTCAGGTTCATACCATCGTTGGCGTTCGTTGTTGACTGATCGACTTCGTAGGCCCAATGCAGCTCGAACGCGTTCAGTATCGCGGGTCTGGACCCGTTCGGCGATATGAGATTCAAATCGACAGTGGTGGAGCTTTCGAGCTCCACCAACATCGATACCTGCTGGGGATTGAACGTGCTCAAGTTGAGTGCGAGAGACTTATAATTCAGACCGACTACCATCTGAGTCGGATTCCTCAGAAGTTCCGCTGCGGTCAAGTTTCTGATTTCCTGAAAGTACCACGCAGCGTACGCTCGAGGCGCGCCCTCCGCCCTGATGAACTGAACAGACAAATCCGTCCCGACCCAGGCGTCCTCTTGTACTCGCTCCGGGGCGAAGTTCCAACCGGCCGTCGTCTGATCTGCTTGTGTGGGCGGGGCGAGGACCGATGAGTTCGCAACGCCTGCCCGCGAGGAATTCGTGACGCGCAGCCAGTACCTGTCGTAGGGATCGTCTGGATAACTGACACACCACCGAACAACTGGTGAGCGCACTGCCAGGGAGAAGCCATCGACGAAACTCAACAACTCACAGCTCAGACAGTCTTCGGAGGAGCCGGCCACACTCACGAGATGTAGCTACTATTCGACGGCTGCCCCGTGTTGTACCGACCGACGAAGACGAGGAACCTGTAAACTCCTCCGCGCTGGACTTCGTAGTACGAGAGCGGGTTCAGCTCCCTCATCTCGATGGAATTCACGAACGGAGTTCCCGACGCGCCTGCCACGAAGCACACGTCCACCTCTTCCTTCTGTAAACTGTAAAACACGGACTCGAAGAGAAACGGTAAACGGTCGAGATCCGTCTGCCCGCTGAACGAGTACCAGACCTCGTTGTTCACGGTGACGTTGAAGCTCACCGGGAACGCAATGCTCGCGGTGCTGGTCGATTGCCCGGCGTACTGGATGGTCCTGAGGAGGTACGTCGAGTTCTTTCGTACGGGCAGCACGTAGCAGTGCTTGCTCCGCTTCTCCGTGAACACCCTGGCGCTGTAGAACGGGAAAATCTTGCTCGTTTCCAGTTGGACGTTCGTTCCTGTTTTCACGTAGCCGTCGTCCGTCACCCACTTGATCCCGGCCCCGTCTGTCCGTCCGACATCCGCCCCGCAGTCGATGCTCAGAAACTCTGCACGATGGACCACGAGCCATCAGAAGAACGAGCGCTTGCTTTCTAGAAATTCTCGAGCCTTCTGGAAATCTCTCGACGAATTCCTCGAACAAACAAACTAATGAGAAAACAGAGCTGCGACTGACTGCGAAGCGCCGACTCGATTCCCGTTCCTGAGCGACGACGAATCGGAGCTCGGTCGAGACGGAAGCGAGAATCGCCGCTCATGCTCTTCCTGGGCGACAAGAATCATGATTACGGTGTGGGATGGGGTGCGCGAATCAATCGTTCGTTCATTCACCTTGTACGGATGAGTTGACAGCGAGCGCGAAGAAGGTGCACAATGCCGTGAGAACGGCCGACCAGCGGCGGTGGGGGCTTCCCTCCATCGCTCCCAGACTACGACGACGATGGAGCTCCTCTCCGAAGGCTGCTGAACGACGCGGGGCCGCCTCGCGGTTGAGCGCTCGTCGGTGACGTCCATGCTCGACTATATCGAAGCGACGGGCCTGTCAATTCAGCTCGCATTTCGTCAACTTCCCATCTCGCGCTCAGCTCTGCTCGACTTCGAACACTGCAGTGCAAAGTCGTTGGGAGAAGACGCACGCCAACTACTCTCCTCTTTCCTCTTCCTCACTCGACTGTCTCTGTGCACAGGAAAATCTCTATGCTTTCAGCAACGTCAACCTGTGGCCCGCAACCCAGCTCGTGTGAACGCAGGCCAAATTGACTTTTGGCTAGATCAACCCCGACCGTATACTTCGCGGGTTGACGGTATACGTACACCGTTCGTGGGTCACCGTCACTGGGGTTTTCGAGGCGAGGCCGGAGAAAATGTTCGTCTCGCATTTCTTGGAATGCACTTTGCGATGGCGGATCAGCCTAAACCCATACAGTGTGCGAGCCAGAGCCTTCGTGCCGGGCTCATACTCTTGGATCTTCAGCTTTTCTTCAGTCCAAGCTTTGATTAGAGTCCAAATAGACTATGCTATCCCAATGTCTCTGAATAAAACCGAACGCTCCGTCAGTGGAGCACCATCCCATCAAAATTGACAAGAATCACAGAATTCTCGAAAGAAAGGAAGAGCTACGACCCCAAAATAAACGTGTTCTCCCGTGACTTCACGGCAGGCTTGGTATGTACATGCGGGAGTTATTGTCAGGGCCATGGAAATTTACCAGAAGCTGGCAGGATGAATTTTAGTCATGTAAAGCTGCAACATTTCGAGCACAACGTCAGCTACGGAGCTGTAGGCAGCTAGTCCCTGAAACCGATCTAATCGCGTTTATGAACAGGATGAGTCGATTTCGAGACGTGATTGCATAATACTCGTGCATGTCTAGGTCTCCATCACAGGGATGGTGCTTATTTTCCTCATTATTCCGTGGAATCCTTATCAGAAGTGACTGCCGTGTCTGAGGAATGACCCCCCTACCTGGGTGCATGAATTCTAATCTTGTGAACCCTAAACCCTCTAATCGACAAAGCAGCTACGGAGCAGCCAGCGCTTTACCGCTGAGAATCGAAGTTCATGTTGAACAAATGCATCGAACGGCTTCTAGAGGGTGCGAGCTCGACGGGTGAGTACTTCACGCAACGGTGACAAAGAAGAGACCGTCACAACGGTGACCGTATGCCGTCAGCCCACAGGCATACGGTCGGGGTTGATCTAGCCTGCAGTCCAAATTGCACATTGCGAGGGACTTTCGGGCCGGATGGACACTGGACTCTCTACAGAGTACATGGAGGCATCCAGACGAGTAGTGCCGAGGATTTGACTTGCGAGAATATAGTTGACTTTATCGGTCCTTTCCACACTAGATCCGGCTACGTCTCGTCTCGCGTTGAGGCCTATCTGTACGTAGGCTCGTCGATTCGATAGATTGGGCCGAATGGATGCCGACGGTCAACAGCGCCCCCTGCGCATTTGGGAGCCGAGGTCGGGTCGGCCGGGACATGGACAAGCAAGCAGGTCGGTCAGTCAGTCCGTCAGTGCAGGGATGCGATTGCGATTCTGCGAGATATAAGGTCTCCAGGTTGACGTATGGTGAAAAGCGCCAAGACATGTGGACGAATTTCAGAAGCTCTATTGAGAGAATGTCTAGCGCAGACTTTTGACTGCATTTGATTTGATAAGGACGACTTCGAAAGAACAACAGAAAGTAACTTATGGCAGTCAAGTTCATTTGAAGACTTGAGATATCACCTTGGTTAGATTAGAAGAGTTCAAAATAATAATATATGCCCTGCAGTGTGCACTTGAGTCAAAGTCTTCGAAGAGAACGAATTTAGGAGAAGATACTAAGTATTCGAATTTATTTATTTTTCATCATTTGCGGATTTGCTCGTTCTTGTTTGAAAAGTTGTGCAGTATGACATGAATGCAAGATATCTCCTTGCCATCATATTCAAAGAGATCATGTAATTGGAATGACATCTGAAGTGTAATTACAATAACCCACTAAATATCACTTCAACACTCAACCTTATGAAACATGAGTTGACCATGTGATGCTTCAAAAAGATACACTGTTTTTCAGCTCAAGAGCTTTCAAGTTCATATTGAAGAAATTTCTTCCGACTCCGTCTCATTAAAGATTATCACAAATAATCCTCTTGTTTAGATACAACATACTCAGGCATGCTTACAACATGCAGTTATCTAAATTAACTTGATTTAGTGTCGTCTAGCGTCTCAACTTGAATGGAATACATGTATGATTGATGATTCTCCTTGCATCTACATTCAGTTCAACTCTGGAGATCTTTTGACAAAAATGAGGATTGTATTTGAAATTAAAATACGATGCTCCCCTTCCGGCAGTATGATGAACAATGGAAGGTATACTGTAACTAAAACTTGTATCTGTACTATCAAGGGAACATCATAGCAAGCACGCAAGACTTCTAATCCCTGAATCGGATCATGAAATATGTCTATCAGCGATGATGTTGATCAATGAAGTTCTTTCTACAAGATTATGAGGTTGAACACGTATCCAACTTGCTCGTAGTGCGTGCAATCTTTTCCAAGCGCGCAAGGATTGAACTTGAATTTCTTAATGTCCTTGTGTATGATAGTCTAGAGGTAATCCATGTCAAGCTCGTCATCAGAAGTAGCGGCCGAGATCTCGGTCCAACTAGCCAACATGTCGTTCTATCTGTTGAAAATGCCCTGCGGTTGCACTTTAGCCAAATTCTTTATGGTGACCTAATGTTGAGGCCAATTCAAAGCTTATGATAGCACCGTCAAGATCCAAGCCTCGACCTGCATAATGTTTTCTCCATAGTCATTTTCCCCTCTTCTTCTATTCATTCAAGCTCTAGAAAACACAGGGCATCACGAAGGTGCTCCCACAAAAACTAAAACATTACAACAAAAACAAATTGTACCCTTTATAAATTATAAATCATTTCAAAACACTTAATCCAAACATCAAAGCATTCAAAAACTAAAACATTATAACAAAAACAAATTGAACACTTTATAAATTAAATCATTTTAAAATATTTATTCCAAACATCAAAGCACTCAAAGTTGCAGAAGCGAGAGAGTGTCGTTGCATATCAATCACATCATGTTCGCAATTGAAAATATGCTCAACAGCCGTTAAAAAATCCAGTATAAAAAGAACGTCCTTTGCAATTGCACTTATGAGGGGAAATTGTATTCATGAACTTTATAGTATTTGAGCGGGTTAACAATAGAATCTTCATATCGTAAGGATAGGTAGCTATCGACCTCATCTTCTGTTTCATTATCCACATTGCAATAAGCAAACATGCTCAAAAATAGAATTGGCTGTTGAGGTTCTTGTGACAGAAATGAATTGATCTCATCGACGCCACAAAACATTTTAATCTCATTCACCAACTTTTTCAACAGCGTAATAGTAGTATTGATCAATCATGGATGAAGCGACTCAAAGTTCTTTTGCTAAAGGTTTGTTCTTTTTAACCTCGAGTCCAAAATTACAGACATCATATAAAAATATGTATCATCCGTGAACGAAGATTTCTTGGAAAGAACTTGATGTGCAGCGGACAAAGCGTTCTTCATTTGATTCAGAGTATCAAGAATAATCACTTATACTTTAATATATGAATAGAATTCAACAAACACGTGCATTACAAAGAAGATTGTTGGATACTTGTACCCTGACATTAATCTTGAGTACTCTTCAAACATTTTCAATTGATCATGGCCGCTTTGATATCTTTGCCATTCAACATCACTAAATTGCAACTGATCCAGCTTGATATTTCTGATTTGAGTACCGGTATGGAGCCAATTTTTGAGGCCAATCTGAACTTTAATTGCTATTTCAACCATGTAATATGTTGAATTCCAACGGATTGAGACATTGAAGATCAGCATCAGATTTTCACAATTGGCAAGACTGCATTGCTCACGGAATTGCTTTTGCTAAGGATTTAAACACAATTTTCACATTATAAAACATAGCCTTTGAATAAGATTAGAAGTGTTACTGATTGAAATTTGTCGTTGATTGGTATATGATCAATTTATGTCCAAGATTTCAAAAAAGCTTTCACTGAAAGATTGATAATATGTGGCAAACATTGTATCCTTGAATCCTTTGCATTCTAAGCCTTCGATATTCTTTTACGAATGCAATAATCGTCACTAGAGTTTTCCATACCTGACATTAAAGTATTATTGTTTGAGGCATTGTCCATAGTCAAACATCCAACACGCCCGACAATTTCAAATTCCTTCAATGTTTGTTGGACAATTTCCACCATTTCAGCTTCACTATGATCAGTTATGTTTGTAAAAGCTATAAGCATTTTGTGAAGAATACAATCTTGCCCAACAAAATAGATGATTATAGCAAAAAAAAGAATTTATTTGGAGATGTTTACATATCCAATGACATATGTACCGAAAAATTGCTTTTGGACAATTTCTTCTTAAGTTCAACTTTCATCTCTTTAGCTCTTTTCAATATACCATTCCAAGGGGCATCAGCTTTTGGGATGATGACATTGCCACGTTTGCACTTGAGTAATATTTTCAAAAGCATTAGGAATGACTTCGACTCAATAATAGTGAACGCTTTGGCCTCATACAACACAAAATTTCCAATTGCCTCATCAATAAGATCGTCGGAAATATTTGAGGTTGCTGCTACTTTTTTTCTCCAAAGTTGAAGAATTCTGGAGATAGTATTTCATAGATCCCAACAATGCATTACTGCTTTCAAAATATTGACTTTTATGATGGTTCTTCACATGCTTCATTTGATTTTATGTGCTTGATCCAGTCTTCTTGAAGCGATACTCGAAATAGCATCATGACTTTGTGCAATATTTACAGTATAACAATATCGTCTCATCTTCGTTTACATGATTAATGTGTTCATA